AGAGCCGGGATCCGCGCGGCTCACCGGCGATAAGGTTAATGGAAATGCTGTCGACAGGCCATAAACTGCCAAGGCTCTCTTAATGGGGTGCTAATCAGCGTTGGAGGGTTCTTGGAAAAGCTCGGAGTAAGACAACTTCGTTAGCGGTACCACACGCAGCAGGGCCAGGGCCAGGGCTCAGAGCCGGAGACTGGACTCAGGCCTGCCTGCTGGCCAGCGCAGCAACCGGAGAGACAGCGGGCAGCTGTGTGAAACTCGATCTGGACCGCATAACCGGCCAGTCTTGCTCAGGGGTCCCACAATTCCCTGTGAGCAGGAGCGGCGTTACAGACGTCAGCTTGTGCAACTGCAGTTCCGTCGGGGAATCGGGAACAGTTTGGAAGGTGTTCAGAGAACTCCGAATTGCATTTCATTTCTGTATGTAGGTCATGCATTTCAATATTTCACCAAGGCGGAAGCAGCAGCAGATTTTCGGGTTATTTTCAGTGTAATTAAAAGCAGGGGAGTGGGATCTGCCGTCTTGCTCTGTGGTGTGAGTGGAGAAAGTGAAATTCAATCTGCCGGCTCCCCCAACTGTCCGCTTATCTTCCTCTTCAAAGTCGAATTCGAACCGTTTATCCGGCGCTTGTCTCACTCTTGCCCTGCAACTAATTACAGCTCGTTACTGAAAACGAGCGAGGGAGAGATGTGCTGGGGGTTTAGCCAGGGATGGGGGGGGGTCTATTAATTTCTCCGGCATCCAGACGCTGTGAACGCTGAAAACGAGTGCAATCAAAGTCCGAACGAGCCCAGACATCGGAGCTCGACGGGAGAGGGCTTCCTCCCTTCGTCTGGGTGCATTATGGAGGTATTGTGTGGAATTAGATCAAATTGACTCCCATTAAGGAAAATGATCATGGTGGAGCGCGCGTGCATGCAGACACACGTGCACAGGAACAGACTCGCAGGCATTAAAACACAGACAGAGAATCGGGCCACACCAGTGCCAGATCATCCGGGGAGTCAACACCGGGGGGCCGTGCCTTTTCTCCCGACTCTGCGCTGGAGGGCTTTCAGCAGCTCGGGTCGGCTCCCCGCACAGCAGCGCTCGGCCGCCGGGGCCAGTGTGGGGGCCGTCGGAAAGGAACCCCGACGCGCGGGTGACGAAAGCGGGGCCGCCGCAGACAGGTGGCGAAGAGTCGTTGTGGGCCGGACAGCGCCCTGAAGGCCACCGCTTCAGCAGGCCTAGCGACAGCCGCCTCGGCCGCAGAGGAAGTGATCGGGTGTGAGCCAAACTGGCTTGGTGAGGAGCTGTGCTGGAACCCCCGTCAAGCGCGAGGCGGTTCCACAGGCACGGCCACGTATCCCATGTCGCACTTCTAGGTGTACAGTAGCTCAGTCTTCACGGGCAACTGTTGCAAGACAGTCGTGCAACACCTTCTCCACGAAGTGGCCCTCGGTCAAGTCCTGTCACCGCGGCGCGTCATCGGCCTCCGATGCCCACAGGGCAGTCGCAGTAGGGATTTGACTCGGGGACTCAGAATCTTTAAAAGTATCGACGCAGCCGGCCGAGAGGACTCTCCCAGACCCGGCAGTGAACCCAGGGCTCTGGACCGGAAGTGGAGTGCGGGAGGGAGCAGTGAAGGCTGGAAAGGAGCTGGGCCGTTGTTGTCTGGAGCCCACAGCCCAGGCGCACTGTTGGAAGATATCTCTCTCTCTCTCGGGTCACTCGTGAGATTGTTCTGTGTAATAAGTTCCGAGCAGCTGTGGTTTCCTATTTCATCACCGTCCAAAGACAGGCTTGTAGTTTGAATTGGCTCCTGGGAAAACTGGCCCTGGTGTGTCTGTCTGTGCCCTGTGATGGACAGGCGGCCCATCCAGGCTGGACCCTGCCTTGTGCCTGTTGCCTGCTGGGAGAGGCTCCGGCTCCTCTGTGACCCTGTGTGGGATATAGTGGTTTGAAAATGGATGGATGGAAGTTTCTAACAGCCATCCAAGTGCGAATAGCCTCTTTTCTGCAAACTTTTTAATTTGGCCCTATTCTTTTATGCATCTAAGATTCTTGATATACGTCTAAGAAAAATGCCCTGTCTTATCATACCCTACTGAGGGTTCATCTTTAAGGTACTGTGAGTGAGGGAACTGGCATACACCTGCTGAGATCCACACATTTATTTTTTTAATATTGCATCAAAATGTGCCTTAAGGTCATTCTTAACTTATCAGTTATTATTCAGCCCTTTTTTATGATTTATAACTCTTTCTGGATCAGGCTTTTGTGCTACAGTATATTTTCTGCCTCTGGAAATGGACATTTCTCCACTCTTGTGAAAACAGCGCTGACTCTGTATTGTGCAGAGTTATCTGGCTTACCGAAAGAAAAGGGGTGTCGCTTTCCTGAAGTCTGGAGGGGCTTGTTGACGTGACTTGGGCTTCAGGGGACTGTGGGACCAGGGATGTCGTGTCTTCGCAGGAGCTCTGCAGAGGAGACAGGACAGATATTGCAGTTCTGGGTCATTTCTCATCCCAGGAGATGGGGGATTTCTGAGCAGAGCAAACAGACGTCAGTTTGAGGAGAGTGTTTGTTTTTCTTCTTTTTTTCATGGCACAGTGGAAAGCTGATGAGCAGATAAATGAGTTAGAACAGCCTAGTTTGCCCATGTGGATGGATGGTTTCTTTAGACTGGGTAATTGTCTTCCATTAGCTGACCCTTTATTACAAACGAAGCACGCTTTTATTTCAGGCTTGGTTTTTTCTTCACATGAAAGCAATTCTCTGAAAAACTGCTGGATTCATGGGAAACGGTAGCATGTAAGCAGCTTTGAAGTGAAACCCTTGTTTAAAATTATCTGCTTTTTATTAAAATAACAGGAAACAAATCGCTTTTTACCCCTTTAGTACCCTTAATTCAAGTAAGTCTCATTTCTAGCGGGAGATGCCTGGTGTTGCCAAAGGGGAATGCGTGTCAGTGGCAGTTCTAATTACTGCAGAAACCGCTCAGATCATTCAGACTGTTTGCTGCAGAGCTAAGCAAAGCTCTTGATGCTGTTCATATTTGATTCGGAAGTGTTTAAACTCCTGCGCTGCGTGAGAGCCGAGAGGGGAGTGGGCATGTTCGGACTACTGACTGCGGGAGGCAGGGGTAGCTCTAGTCCCAGATAGCTGGAGGGACAGCAGGCTTTCAGTATGACACAGCTGTCAGTGACTGAGTCAAGACGGACTGCAGACTGCAAGACGTAAGAGCACGATAACGGTTTACAAACCAGAGGAGCCATTCTGCCCACGTGGCCTGTTAAGTCGCAGGTGACTGATCCCAGGAACTCATCCTCCTGTGTCTTGAAACAAGCCAGGGTACCGGCTTCAACCTAACGGTTGGGCAGCTTGTTCCACACCCCTGCCGCCCTTTGAGTAAAGAAGGGGTCCCGTAGTCCTGCTTCGAAGATCCCCTCCAGCCATCTCTTGAAAGAAGCAAGGGTTTCGGCTTCGACAACGTGGCTGGGCGGCTTGTTCCACGCTCCCACAAGCCTTTGGGTACAGGCGTGGCTCCTGGTCTGGGTTTTCAATGCGCTTCCACTTGTGCCCCGTGGTTTGTGTTTCTCTGCTGCCAAGCCTGAAGCAGCTCAGGGTTTGTGGCAGCTATGGACCACGGCAGCAGACATGCTGGTAGACAGTACTTCCAGTCAGCCTCTCTGATGTCAGCAGGGATCCGACGGCGTATTAATATCCTCCTCCTGGTGGCGACAGCCTCGCCTTTTTAATTGACTGACAGGAGACTCCGGCGATTTACAATGCAGATTCATAAAGCTGACGGACGCGCCCCAAGTGCGCCCGATGCTCTTTTCAGATACCGAATATGAAAAAGTGATTTAGTGCCTCTTCTGAATACCAACACCATACAAATTAGGTGCCACCCGATAAGATTTATTACAGAAGAGGCCGTGCAGTTGCATCATTGTTAACATGACAGTTGTGTCCGCAGAGAAGTGAAAAAAAAAATGGAGAGACTTCATTCCTGCTAAGGCTTGCGCAGTGATTTATTAGTTCTTGACTGGCAAATTGCTTTTACAGCCTCCCTGATTATTCTTTCAGTGTTAAAGAGATAACAGATCACACTAAATATCCTTTACAGCGCAGTGGAGGGCAGTGGAGAGGTGCCTGCAGGGTGTCCCACCTGTTGCACTGGCTCCTGGGAGCTGCTGCTGGTCTCCCATTGGCGGTGGGGACTGTGACGCGGCTCTTCCGCCGAGACAATAGCTTTTCAAAAGGGCCGAAATGCCAGGAAATCCTCAGGGAGCCCTAGCTTGATGTTGATGCCCCTGAGAAAGCACCTGCACGAGAGTGCCGACAAATCAATCTGCTCGTCAGCGGAGCACCCCTGTGTGACTCTGGCACGCTCGCACGTATTTTCTCTTATTTCGTTATCTGGGCGTTGCACCTCCAGAGCTGGTGATGCCCTTGATGAAGAGCAGGAGGTCCTAGACGTGCCCACACTGTCTGAGATGACAGTGGTGTAATACTTCTGTGCAATGAGAGTGATGTAATATTTCTGTGCTATGACTGATGTCATCCTTCTGTCCGGATGAGAAATGAAATATGTCTGTGCTACGAGTACGATGTAATACTTCTGCGCTATAAGTATGATGTCATCCTTCCGTCTGGATGAGAGTGATGCAATACTTCTGCACTATGAGTATGATGCCATCCTTCTGTGCAAATGAGAGTAATGCAATACTTCTGTGCTTTGAGTATGATGTCATCCTTCTGTGCAGATGAGAGTAATGCAATACTTCTGTGCTATGAGTATGATGTCATCCTTCTGTGCAGATGAGAGTAATGCAATACTTCTATGCTATGAGTATGATGCAATACTTCTGTGCTATGAGTATGATGTCATCCTTCTGTGTTGACAGCATGAGCACACATTATCCCACTGCCTCAGTGAATGCGTGGGTTAATGGCTGGACAAAGCAGTGATTCTTTTTCCCTTTTTCTCCTCCCCATCTCCCGCTCTTCCCTTCAGGGATGCCCGCAAATCCTCCAGACGAACGACATACTGGTCCCGGCAGGGATGGTGCGGCCGATCACTCTCCGCGCTCGCAACCTGCCCCAGCCCCAGTCTGGCCAGAAGAACTACGAGTGCGTCTTCAGCATCCAGGGCAAGGTCCAGCGCGTGCCCGCCGTGCGCTTCAACAGCTCCTGCATCCAGTGCCAGAACACCTCGGTGAGGCGCGGGTTCGCGGCCGGTGTGGGCCTGTGAATGAGTGTGTTGTGCTGACCCGGAGATAACGTCAAGCAGAGCCATGCAGCAGGCTGCAGGCGGAGTCCGAGCGCAGGGCGCGGGGGGGGGGTGGCTCTCAGGGTGCAGAGTCCGGGCTTTGCTCGCAGTCGAGATGAAAGAGACGATGTCTGGCTCTTCGGAGTCCAGCCACTGATGTCATGCACAGTTCCATTAGCAGGGATATTGAAACCGGTTTGAATTTCAACACATTTTAGCAGTGCATTGAAGGCACAAATCTACAACAATTAAAAATAGCACTTTTTCAGTTTAAATCACAGGCTTCTTGATGCCCTTGCAGGTCTAACCCCCTGGACCTTGGGGTGGGAGTGAACTATGGGAGGGTGTTATCACTGTTGATACAGGCTGGGGTGGATACCAGGTCATCTTGCGTGCTTGAGTGTTTCACAATGTGGAGCGTTTTTAGAAGGAGGTACTTTTCAGAAGTGCAAAAATGGGCAAATTTTTCACCCACCCGAGAGAGCTTTTTGGAGAAAATCAGGAGGGGGGTGCCTTTTGTGGAGTCTAGTGTCCATGAATTAAAAAAAAAAACTACAAAAAGAACCTAAAAGGAACGCAACTGAAGCTTGAGCCGTTTTGTGATCTGAACTGCTGTCTCGCCCCGTCTCTCTCATTGACCTTACAGACGGCGGCCTCATGTTTCCCCATCTGGTTGTCACGGTTACCCTGGGGAATCTTGTAAAACAATTAGCAGACCACAGGAAGTGGGGCCTGATTTGGTTAATGCAATGCAGCGAAAGAGAATGGGGTGGGGTGGAGTGGGGGGAGGGGTGGTGGCAGGTTGGAAACGAGTGTCTGATCTGTTTCTACAATGGAGTGTGTCCCCTTTTGCCCTTTGACCTTCCAGGGTCAGAGGCCACCCGTTGGCCCCCTGTCTTTTAAGGCAATTAATGTCCCGTGACCAATTTAATCATGGGGGTCGTGTTTGTCCTCCAGTGATCTGGGCGGGTCGATTGTCACTCTTTCTGAAGTCGCCTCCAGGCTGCACGTGGCCCTCGTTTCGGAGGCCTGTCAGTCTGCAGTGATGTGTTCATCAGGGCTCCAGGCCACTCTTCCGTCCACACTCTCTCACTCTCTCTCCTTCCCTCAGACACGCCTGGGCGTCACTCGCAGTCAGAGAGACGTGGGCCTTAGAAAACTCAAACGTTCTTGAAAACTGACCCGAATTCCCTCTGAGGTACCGAGGGAGAGTAAGAACGGGTACAGACGTGAGGAGGGCATTCACCCCACCTGGGCCGGTGCACTCCACCCCGAGATCTCAGCCAGCTTTTCCCTGAAGGGAGCTGCCGGCTATCTGCTTCAGCAGCATGGCTGGACAGCTTTGTTCCACACTCCCACCGCCCTTTGTGTAAAGATGCGCCTCCAGTTTCCGCTTGCGTCCTCTGGTTGCCGTTTCACGGTTCGCGGTGCCTTTCAGGATTTGCAAGATTTGTGTCACGTCCCTCCTCAGCTTTCTCTGTACAACACCAAAACGGTTCTGTTCCTTCCGCCTGTCAGCGCAGAGTGTTCCCTTATGCTGGGGAATGTTTTGTATTTTATACTTTTAACTATATATCCTCACATTTTGTTTGCCTTTCTTGTCGCCTCCCCATGTTGTGTATCCTGTACTGTATCATGAAGACATTGACAAGCAGTCACATGCACTTGCAGCTTCTGAGCTCAGCTCTCTTTCATGAGCTCTTCGCCTCTTGTAGCCCATAAGAGCCCTCGAGCCTGAAGTGGGGTCTGTGCAGTGCTCTGCCTGCAGCCCCTATCCTCTCTCTCTCTGGGAGATGCTCAGATTAATGGGCAGTCTGATTACTTGTGACATGCAGGAGAAGGAGAGTTTCATCCCTCCTTGCCTGTCTCCCCACGCTCTTGTCTCTTGTCCACGGGCACAAGATGAATCTCTCTTAAATATTAATCTGCTGTGAGACGAGACTCACTGCAAATTACACCCCCCCAGCCCAGGGAACTCCTGCCTGTGGTCCCCAGCGTCTAATATCGCAGCACAGTGGGGATCGATCAATACTGTCATTAGCACGCCGGTCCACCTCCATTCCAGATTCCAGTGGTGTGTTTGCAGCCAGGTGACTGAGCCTGGGGAGGGTCAGTGAGGGCTGAGTCGGTTGTTCCCCTGACTTGCCTGCTTCAGCTTTTGCATTCGAGGCAGTCCGGACCTGGCCCGACAGGCTACAGCCTTGAATGTGCAGCTCGGCAAGCAGTCAGCCCCTCCTCTGGATCTTAAGAAGTTAACGGAGAAGCTGTTGTGTTTGTTGTTCTTAGTCTGCCCTTTTCTACAACCTTTGTGTCGGTACCTGTGCCTGTCTAGCTCTGTATCTTGCTGTGCCTGCTTGCCTTTCTATCACCCTGTGTCTCTCCATCTCTCTGCCCACGTGTCCTGCTCTGTTCCGTCACAGAGGCTGTGGCCTGCCTGTCTCCTCGCTCCGGACTTGAGTCCCCTCTCTCTGCCCCCAGTCTACCCATCACAGGCCAGCTGAGCCGATCTGTCAGTCCGCTCCTGGGCCTGGTGTCCCTTTTAAAGCGCCGCTTCCTGGGTGCCGAAGGGCCCAGGGGAGTGTCCCCCGCTCCCCAGCTATGGGGTGAGGGCCAGGGCGCCCCCTGTCGGGCAGCTGTGTAAACCGATGAGCCCGAATGCTCAGACGGCGGAGACCCCCCCCCTCCCCGTTCCGCTCTGCGGTTCGTCTGAGCGGTGCCGGTCTGCTGCAGGCAGGGAGCGGGCAACAGGGCATGTGCCCGGGAAGCACCCGCGTCAGCTTTTGTCTGATGCGGCGTATCTGACAAGGCCTTGATTTGCCAAGTATGCCAAAAGGCAGGATTGTGTGCACCTTAATCCTGTCAAAATCCTACGACCCCTTTGAGTTTCCAAGGCGTGTGAGTGTGTGTGTGTGTGTGTGCGCGCATGTTCTTTCCTCCTCTTTCTGTCTTCTTGACAGCTCTGGAACGGTTACTGCACACATCAGCGAAATGCCCAGGACTTGAATAACGGGGCGCCTGCTGGGGGCCAGGGACATACGGCACCCCCGCCTTACAGAACAGGACGTTAAGTGATAATTCCCAGGCCTCCGTGTGGAGGAAATCAAAAAGCCCCAGACCTCGATCTAGGAGATTATCGTCACCATTTCTGTTACTCCTCTCATCCTCGTCATCATAATTGTTGCTATTAATAGCACGATGAGGTGGGGTGACCTGAAGCGAAAGGCTTTCTAGATTTGGGCCCAAAAAATGAAAAAAAAAAATAAATAAATGGAAACAATTTTTCAAATTGTCTGACGGACGTAAGTGTTGCTAAGCACAGCTGGGCCCTTAACTACCGGCCCCCCTTGGCGTTGCCGAGGCAACACAGGACTGTTGAACACTGACCAAGTCCTGAACTTTCTCTCCCAGTGAAAAGAGGTTATAGTACCCCCCCATGGCACCCCCCCCTGCCTGGCAAATCTCATCAAGACAATGAGGCGTTTTGTATGTTGGGAAAGCAGAGCAGACAACATTGCTCATCTAAGCTGTTTTGAAATCAACTTTTCAGCCTCGCATTACACATTATATATATATATGTGTGTGTGTGTAAATGTATGTTGTGTGTTTATTCTACCTCTGTCATATGTGGATCTCGCATGAGTATTGTAAACCTTTGATTTGTTCCCAGTCTTTGACAGTGACTCATCCCTCACCCAAATGCATGGAGAAAATTCCTGGTGAAGACAACAGGGTGTCTGTATTCCTGCTGGGATATTTGTTTCCCTCCTGAAATTGGTCTAAAAAGCATGACTATTAACTGCAGACGAAAGGTTACAAGCCCGAGAAGCCATTTGAAAAATCCAGCCCATTTGATAGTTAGTAGCTAATTGATCCCAGGATCTCTTCCAGCTTTTTCCTACAAGAAACCTGGGTTCCAGACACCCACAACCCTTTGGGTAGAGAAGTGCCTCACTTTTGCAGTGCATATTCAGAGTTGTCTCTTGTGCCCTCTGGTTCTTGTTTCATTCTGAAGAAACCTTCTGGGTAGAGTTTCGCAAAGCCTTCATAGGTTTTTCAAAACGTGAATGAGGTCCCCTCACAGTCTTCTCTGTGCAAGAAGCTGGTCAGTGAAGGACATACCCTTAAACCCCAAGCATTACGCTAGTAGATACAGATACATATTAGTTGGATGTACAGTAGTGTTTAGGGGCATGAAGAGGTTGTGGGTTCGAATCCTGGGTGGAGCACTAATGTTGTACTGTTGAGTGAGGCACATTGCTTATATTACTGCAATAAAATGCCCAACTGTGCAAAATGACACAGACGGAAGAGACTCTGCATTAAAGCATTAGTCAAATTACCAAAAATAATCTTACAATACTACCCTGTTGGTGCCATGTAATATTATGTAGTACCTAATGATTTAGTAGTTGACCTGAACACTTTTCTGTTAGTCAAGACTATGGAACTATGAATATATTCCTGTATGTCAAAACTAGTCTGAAACAGGAAGGCATCTTTTCACGTTTAAGAAGCACACAGGGGTGTGTTTGTAGTTGCAAAGTGAACATTTTAAAAAGAAGACCCATGTCAGGGCTTGAAATCCTATACAAGCCATTGTTTCTTTAAATTGCTGAAACATTTACAAACCATTCCTGATGAGTAACTTTCAGGTCGCATTAGAAGGGTCGATTAATGAAGATTGACATTCACTTAGTGCAACGAAGAAATCCGTCTGGAATAACAACCAACTAGCCCTCAGTGATGAAGAGCCCTTAATAATTAATCGGATCAAATAAAAGATTTGTCTATAAGGGTCAAAGATACAACAGACACACTTTACAAAGTGCCAGGTGTTTATAAGACATAATTGGCGAAAGACCACTAAGGAAAAAATATATTTACAAAATGAAACCTGAGTGCTGTCGTCAGGATTTGGATGTTACAAAAACACCAGACTGAAAGACGCAGGCGAACATGTGACAACAACGTGGTCTGTATGCCCTTGGTATGGGCTGTTCGAGAGCACTGCTGCTCTACAGATGGGTTCTGTAGGTTGATAAGTAATGTCCTATTAAACCACTTTGCCACAGCGTGTGGGCAGTGTGTGCGTTTTGGGTTGCTGTGCTTTAACAGAAATATTCAGGGGACTGACTGAGTGCTTCATGCTGGGAAAGGATCACCTGGAGGTCAGGAGGACAGGGGGAGTGGACCACCTGGTGGTCAAGAGAACACAGGTGGGATCATATGCCTGGAGGTTGGTAGAATTATGAGGGACTTTGACCACCTGGAGGTCAGTAGAATGATGAGGAGGGGATGGACCGCCTGGGGGAGAGGAGGATGAGGAGGGGGTGGACCGCCTGGGGGTGAGGGGGGCTTGGAGGGGTTGACTGCCTAAAGATCAGGATTATGAGGTAGGGGGAGGTTGACCACCTGGAGGTCAGGAGGCTGAAGTACAGTGAAACAAGAGCTGTGAGCAGCTCATTGTTATCCCACTGGCTTTGTATTCTGAAACCTGAAATCGGGCTGAGGGATTTGACATTTTGTTTTTTGCATTGAGAAGTTGGAGCAGTAATAGGTGAGGAGTGCTTCGGTTTAACTTGGAAAAATCCCAAACACGTCAATTCCAGTGGTATGAGTCCATCTGTCTTTTCTGCTTCCACACAGCCACAGCTCCTTACAAGGTGAATTCCTTCCCAGTGGAGGTGCTCAGAGTTGTCACATTCCCCAGAAATCTATGAGAACAGATGATGATGAACTTTCACGCCATGCCAAAATTATCGATGTGTGTGGGCAGCTCTTCTCCCAGACAAAATGTCGCTTTCAAGGTGGATGAAAAATGACACCGATATCGTTTACGTCCGCTGCCATTTCTTTACATCCTCCTCCTCCTTCTTCCTCAGTTTTTTGGAGCGGATAAGTCCGTGGGGAGGTGGAAACCGCGATCACTATGCCTGTGACACTCTCTCAGTTTTTGCTCTAGCCTGGAGCTAAGAAGGATCGAGCCAAAACTCTGAGATAAGCCCCATTGTATCTGTATGCACAGAGCAATCTCTCTTTAAAAAAACAAGCACTAATCTCCGGAAAACTGCCTCCTCCTCACCCTGAATTACCACCTCCTCTGTTCCATGAACTTTTCTTTTTGAGATCCCTCTGCATTTCTATCAGTCCAAGGCCCAACACTCACTTCAGGCACTGCACTGCCATCCAGTTTGGTTGCTTTGCTGGTGTCCAAAGACATACTGATGACCCGGAGCTGGTTGTGAAGGAGCAGGATGGCATCTTCATCTCTCCTGTTTGTCTGGAGAAGCAGTGGCCCCAGCTAGGCGTACTGACCCACAGTGAGTGTGCTCCAAGCATGTAGACGAGTGACAGTGTTATCAGAGCAGTGTGATAGTGTGTATAGATCAGGTGTTTGCCACTCCTCTGTCTCTGACTGGGGTGTAGTTGGCGTTGTAATGTCATTGAGTCCTGCAGTGCTTTGAAATGGTCTGAGCTTTGCTGGAATATTTTTTGATGGAGCTCTCCACTCTCTCCTATAAGAGACTAATGCAGTGGCCTTTATTGGCAAATTGAATAATGGGATCTCATGGAATGGGCATTCCTGGCCCTGATGTGATTCCCAGGCCACTGGGAGGTCAGGAGAATGAGGAGGAGGGGTTGCGGGGTGTGCAGTGGGTGGATGGGGTCTGAAAGAGGGGCTGGCAGATGAGTGGAGCTCAGTAGCTCAGCAGCTGGACTAGAGGTGACAGAGACCACAGTCTACCAGTTGAGACCACAGGAGCTGGAAAAGGCCCCAGGCTGTTTTGAGGTTAAAAGGAGTTGGGGAAAGGTCACAAGAACGCACAAGAAAGTACAAAGACAAAACATATGCAGGAAAATGCACGGAGAGAAATGACCACTCGTGGCTGCGTATTTGAATTTGTGCTGAAATGCATTTCTGATGAGTCCTTGTCGATGCCTGCAGTGGTGTATTCCTCATTGGGGTGTATTGTGAGTTTTGACTGACGTCTGGACTAGAGGGATCTGGAAACCTGGGCAGGGAGTCCCAAATAAGTGAAGGGGGAATCGGAAGAAAGGTTACAGACTAGAGGACGTCAAAGGATGAGCCATTGAATTTGGTTCATGGATGTTTAGGGCTACTGGAGGCCTGGAACGCTAACATGGAGATATACAGTAGAATGCAACCATTCATTCTTTCCAGTGTTTAGCGGGAAACCAGATGAATGTAACCAACGCCCAACAGAATTGAGAGCAGTGCTAAGCCTGAGTTAATCCACCAGTGGAGGGCTGTAAGGTGTAGATGGCAGTACAGAAGGAAGAGGAGGAAAGGTCCTAGTATGGAGCCCTGTGGCACTCCCCCTCACAGGGGACTTTACCTCACTTTGGGCTGCGATGCTCACTCGCTCTAAGAACTTAGGTTCTGCTGCCCATATAAGATGGTAATTGTGGCCATGCAGATGGCAAAAGGCTGTCGTTTATTTACGAGGAGACTGTGACTAATGTAATCAAAGGCTTTGCAGAGATCCATGAAGGCAGCATCTGTCATTGAATTGTCACTGAGCGCAGTTAATGCATGTTCAGTTGGCAGCCCTGCGGCTGGAGAGGCAGATCTGTTTGTGCGAAAGCCAAGCGGTGTTTTTCTGATGAGAGATTCTGGGATTCTTCATGTTCAAAAAGCCGAGCGTTGTTTTCCAGCTCTTCTGAAAGAATGAGTAAGATACTGATGGCTCTGTAATTAGCAACATTAGCTCTCTCATCTGATTTATAGATTGGCGTAATCTTGGCAGATTCCTGCTGGTTTCACAGGTACTTTCCAATTAGCAACTGATTAAGACCGAAAAACAGCTGATTCAACCTTTTATTCAAACAATTAGGTTAATTAAGATCGGAGGAGGGTTGAAGCACAGAGGACCCTGTGGCCCTCGAGGGCTGGAGATATAAACCCTTCATCAATGCCATGTGTCGTTTTCGTTTGGTTTCTTTTTGTGTCCTTTGGTTTTCAAATGGAGGAGCGGGGGGATGAGTGTTAATCCAGCGGACACAAACAAATTCAGATCGACCTGGTCTCCCTCCTCCCAGTGCAGAAGTTCAACTCAATTCAATGTGTTTTATATAGCGCCTTTCAGAACAAGCTTGCCCCAAGGTCCTTAACAAAGCTGTGTGACAGTACATGATGTTACAATACAGAAAGAGAAAAAGACCAGAAGACAACGGAGGAGAGGAACCAAAAACTCCTGTAAGGAGAAAAAAAACCTCTAGGAGTCCAAGGTCAACTGGCTGCCCAACCCTTCTGGGCATGCTAACATTATACAATTCTAAACAAGTACAAAATGTGGAGTATTACGTCTTCCATCATGTCCTTCTGTGTGCCTGTACTCCCTGCAGTTCTCTGTAGACCAGCAAATCCTTCTAAATGATGGCAGTATGTGCGGTGTCCTTCTTGGATCCGTGGCAGTGATGCAGCATCCAACATGTGGGGAGGAGAATAGGATAGTTTGGTCAGAACAGATGTGTCTACCTGGCGGGCCAACACAGAGACACACAATGGCATGTACAGCAGCACCAGCAGCCATGCTTGCAACGAGCTATGATGTGAGGTGTGAGTAGGCTAGGCTGAAGTAATAGGTTTTCAGTCTGGATTTAAAGAAGTGTGGGAGGGGTCTTTGCCTGATAGCTAATCTATTAGCCAGGGTGATTTGTCAGCTTGCAGAGGGTCGCTCTCTTAGCTCAGCCTGTACTGCTTCTGTTGTGAACCTTCCCCCTTCTCCCAGCAGCCTTAAGTGTTTTGCCTTGGCGATCGATGGGGTCTGATCGGCGCTGCTCTCCTGAGGATGCGTTGCTAAGTGCTCCAAGTATGGATGCTAATTAAAACGCTAAAGCATCACCCCTCTCCCACCCGCGTGGGCAGACCAGCGCAAGCCCTGTTCCACAGGGGCAGCCGACAGCTGGGCAGCTCGAACTCTGCCACGGCTCTTCGCAGATGTCCGAGTCGGGCTGTGATCTACGCACGGTATCTGTCTGGAAGTCCTCATCACTGATCCCGGTGTCCCTGCCCTGCAGGACTTACAGGAAACGTGTGAATGGTGATAATTAAGTCAATAGCTCGTTCAATTAAACCATTAAGAGCTCGGCTGGGAGGAAAACCTGTTGACTCCCAGGTTCTGCAAGAGGGAGGATCGATGATCTAATGAATGGCGCGTATTTGCTTTGAATATGCAAAGATGTCATTTGTAGTTTTGATCAAGGGTGAATCACAGCCTCATGGCACAGCTGTATCTGCTCAGCATATGGGAGCTTTCTGATGGACAGCAAGAACAGCAGCTCACCAGAGCAGGGTTCCTCATTCAAGCTGAGTCCCAGAAGACTTCATTGGACCCCATATTTACTGAATAGGGTGCAGTGTGGCATGTTCTCCAGGTTTCTGCTTCATGCCATATCAGAGCCCCCCCAGGACAAGGACAGCCCCCCAAGACAGGAACAGCCCCCAACAGACCCCACACGCTACTGAAACAATTCTCACCCTGCAGGTAGACCCTAGTGCTACAAGGCAGTTGCATTCAGATATTGGGACCACAAGACAATGGGGTACAGATGTTGGTGACAGTGTGTCACATGAACCCCCCTCCTCCCAGCCATGGTGCTCAGAAGATCCAGGATGAGAGGATTTTCAATAACGCCTTTGTGTCTCCCCACACCCGGCAGATTCAGTCTGTAGGGCATCAAAGAGCAAATCCTTTTGTTTAAAATCCGTTCGCTGGATTGTTGGAATATTGCTTACATGATGACAGCGGCAGACAACAATGCTTGATTTCCGATGCTTCTTCATTATGGCTGCAGAGTGGTCTGACAGGAACTGACCGTAGGTGACGATATGTGGCTGAGATGTGCCCTCAACAGTCTTGTTGCCCCGTGTGTCTGCAGTACTGGTACGAGGGAGACGAGCTGGGCGACCTGCCGGTGGACTTCTCAGTGGTGTGGGACGGAGACTTCTTCATCGACAAGCCAGCTTCCATGAAAGGTAGGGAGCCTTCGGCTGCTCCTCTTCTGTGGGGCCGCAGTGTAAAAGGGGAGCCCTTGAGCATGTGGTGGTGTCTGGGTGTTCCCATAGACCCTCTGCTGCGGACTTTTTTATTTTAAAAAGCTTTTGAATGACCGGTTATTGTTCATCTCCACCTCCCTCACTCCTCTCCTGGTTTTGCATACCTGTTGGTGTGTTTTTCACATTTCGGCTCGCAGGTACAAATCCCGTCGCCGCACACGGGAGAGTAAAGAGGTGTGGGCAGACTCCTCCACCCTGCCCACCATCCACCTTCCAGCCAATCATCATTTAACACATCACAGGGAGCACCGCCCCCTGCTCAGAGCTGATTGGAGGAGATTGCATGCTTGCAATCACCTAGGAGGCCACAGGAGGCGCTGTGTTGCAGAGAGCTGAGAGTGCTCTAGTCAACCCATCCTCGCCTAGTCTCTAGGGTACTCTTACCCCATAGCTGGGCGACTCTGCTTGGGGAAATCCAGTCAAAGTTGCCTAGTGACATGACCCTAGGCTAGAACCCGCGACCATAGTCTGCTCCTCAATTATATAGTTAATAATTGGCAGGATCATTCTAACGATTGAAGTCTAGGTTATATTGCGGCGTCCACATGCAGCAAAGCTCTTCTCTACTGATTTTAGTCATTTGCTAATTATTTTAGATTAAAGCAGGTAATCCAATGTACAGCAGAGGCTCCAAAATCTGTGACAGTTTTACAGCGAACATAACAAAATCCTGAATTATGTGATCATACCTGCAAAGCCTCATGCTGGTCTTAATGTGTTCCGTGCTGCTCTTTCTGTGTTACATCAGAAACAATAGCATAGCAACCAAGCTAGCAGCGTCAGTCTACTGCTGTACTTTCTGTTAAAATCTCGAGGAGTGGAGAGAGCCGTTCTGCCAATCCAGCCCACTGGTAGTTTAATAGTTAATAGATCCAAAGATCCAGCCTTTCTTGAAAGAAACCGGGGTTTTGTTTTCAACCACATGACTGGGGATTTTGTTCATTCAGCCCGTCGGTAGAGGACAGAGCTCCAGAGCTCCAGAATGTATCTGGTTGCTCTTTTCTGGACTAATTCTAGAACGTTAGTATCTTTTCTAGAACCTGGTGAGCACAGTTACAGTATGTCCAATATTCTAACTGAGCCTTTACTAGAGTTTTAACATAACTTCCCTCGGTATAAAAGCTCAAGTTCTTTATTAAGCAAACTGGAACTTTATTGTGTTCCAAGTAAACTACAGGAGACTCTTTCTTGGATTGTAAGTCAGTCCCCTTTTGGCGTTTTTTCAAAGACGAGATAATTTTTCTCATCAGTGTGTGTCAGGGCTGTTTGGTGCAGGGCTGGGGAAGTGCTTGTTAACAAAATAATATTCAATTTGGTGGTAAAAAGTGTGTGACATTTCATGGATTTAAGCAACTGCAGAATGCAAAGCATTAAGGCAATAAAGAAACCGCATCTTCCCATATTAAAAAATTCTTGCTCGATTATTTGTGCAGGCTATAAATATGCATTAAATCTAAAATTACGCTGTTCACAGTGTTGATTACATGCCTTTTATACAGTTTTCTGACAATTTTACAGCCCTTACCCAAATGTATTTAAATTTATATAATTTACATGCAGTTCAGCATCACTCATTAAATAACTAATCTAAGGAAAAATATTGTCTCGCAGACTAGCTGCAGTACAGATTTCCAATCATCCTCCCTTGGCCATTTAAACTGGCTCAACTGTGGATTTGAGTAAGGGGGGAGGCCAGGTCTGTTGCCATTGCAGTAGTTCCAGGGACACCCTGTAATAATCAGTCTTCATATCTCAGCAATATAAGTACAGTGCTACTCAGCCAATCAAGTTATTGGTTATTTGATCTGGGGATCTCATCCAGCCATTTCTTGAAAGAAGCCAGTGTGCTGGCTTCAGCAACATGGCTGGGTAGCTTGTTCCATGCCCCCACAACCCTTTGGGTATAGACGTGCCTCCGATTCTCAGTTTTGAATGCATTTCCCCTCAGTTTTCCCTTGTCTTCTCTGGCTCCAGTTTCACTGGTCAGTTCTGTAGAATTCCTCTTGGGTTGACTTTGTCTTTGTCTTGAAGGACATTTCCTTCGGCTCGTTCAGCAACACGGCTGGGCAGTTTGTTCCAGACTCCCAGAACCCATGATGTTTTGCTCTTTGGCAGTCTAAGCCAAGGTGCGCGATCAGGCCCCATGGAAAAAGTGATGCTGCCCCCTGGTGGTGGTACTGTCGCCAGAAGTTCAGCCACCAATTCGCTGAGCCCCTTTTACTCTTGGGGCACCTTCTTTTCAGCATGGTGACTCCTTATCGAGGAGATGCATCGAGGAGGAGCGGTCAGGAATACTGATAGAGATGAGCCTCTGTGCTCTTCTGTCTTACTTGGGTCATTGGCCCTGATTTGCTTAATATTTTATTTTCCTGATGTCCACACCCCCTAGGAGACTGAGTACAGAACGTCAAAGTAGCTTTTAAACATCACGGACATGAATTAAAAATGTCTTCCAAATATCCCCATGGAGACTTCCGTGAGCTTCCTGTGTTTTTGACCTGTGGCTGTTTTTACTGCCGTTCTGAATCCCTGCGGGAATGTTAAACAGTCTCCTGACACTTGCGCAGAGCAGAGACCTGTAACGCTGCTCACCACAGGCTGGGAAACTTCAACGCTAGAGAGAGAAGCTGAGATCAACAGCCATCCCCTGATCTGCCTGTTGCTCTGTGTGGGCGACCGGGCCAGTCTGTGTGTGTGTGTGGGGGGGCGTGTCCCACTCCCTCCCTCCCTCTTCTGGCCAGCAGCTGTCATTACACCTCTAACAATTGGATCCAGCTGTCATTCTCCTAGAGAATAACGCACAAAGGAGATCAAATTAGCGCAGCAGATAATGAGACTGGCCCACGCTGGTCGTGCCTCTTCTAGAAGCGTTTCAAACCCTCATCCTGCGGTGCCGCAGCTCTTGACACGGGGGGGTGTTCCTGCGGGCCGGTGCTCTGCCTGATTGGGCCGGCAGCTGACGGCCGTGCCGCTCTCCCTCTCCCTCTCCCTCTCCGCGCAGCGCTCCTGTACAAGTGCCCGGCGCAGCGGGAGAGCTGCGGCCTGTGTCTGAAGGCCGAGCCCAGTTTCGAGTGCGGCTGGTGCACGGCGGAGAAGCAGTGCCTCCTGCGCCAGGACTGCCAGGCCCCCGAGCACAACTGGCTGCACCCGGGGCGGCGCAACGTGCGCTGCAGCCACCCGCGCATCACCAAGGTAGGGCGCGACCTTCGACCCCCACGCCCCACACTGCTCCCTGTAACGCTCCTGCACCATAGAGGCGTCTGAAAGCCCCAGTGCAGCAGACTCATGGGATGAGCTTAGGAAAACCATCTTCATCCTCTGTTGTGCTTGTAATGCTGGCACCATATCTGAGCTGTGTGCAACAATTCCTACAAAAACCTAGCTTGTTTTTGAGATAACTGTGACGTAATACCAAGCCCACGATGGAGCACACACAAACACACCAGCATCCGGAAGCCCAGCCTTGTGCACGCTGCAGACTCTCGGGAAGTACGCCGATATTTCAGCCGCCGGCGCTGAGGCTTTGAGGGAAGTGTGTGGGGCAGCTCGTGGCTCGTTTCAATGTTGAGAGAGCGGCCGGAGTGATGGTGATCTCGCCTTCTCCCGAGAGATCTGGCCGCTGACGGGGCCCAAGGAAGGAGGCACGCGCGTCACCATCGTGGGCGAGAACCTGGGGCTGCACGTGCGCGAGATCACTCACGTCAGGGTGGCGGGCGTGCGCTGCAACCCCGTGCCCTCCGAGTACATCAGCGCCGAGAGGTGAGTTCCCCCTTCCGCTGGACCGCAGGCCGGGGGGAGAGATGCCGTGGGGAGCCGGTGCCACTCACTGTAGAGCAGACTCGTGGGATAACCCTTGGAAAACTGTGGAAGTACTCTGCAAGCTGACAGTACCCAGCAAAGCCCTTTTATTCATGGATTGAAAATACATTTCACCATGCAGCTGGTGAACATTGTTGGTAAAATTCCAGTAAATTCCTATTGGATAGATTTAATAAATAAGAATCAAAAATAATAATGCCCTCTTCCCAAAGTAAGACCATCTGACCAAAAAGAGCAGTAATTTACAGTTTAAGCTCATTTTCTGTGCATCGGTGAGCTGTACGTGCCTGCTTCACTGTGTTAAATAATGCAGCCCAGCAACTGAACTCAGCAAGTCTTAAAGAGGCAATACTGCCAGCGAGAGCCAAATTAGGTTTCAGATCGGGCTGTGCATACTGAATAAGGCATCAACAGAGCGATATGACTGCTTCATCAATAATTTCATTTGCAACTCCTAGCAGAGAACAAGGTTTTGTCAAGTCTGGGAAAAACCTACAAGTTAGTGTTTAATAAAGGTGTTCGGAGGAGTTGCAGGATACCATGCTGAGTTAATCAGGAAGTGATTCACTGCTTGTGAAGCAAGGCTCAGGAGGGCTTGGAGACTTCAGTAGGCTAGGCTGTAAGGCTTGAGCTGTGACTCTGTATTCCCCTCCCAGTGCAAGTCAGCAGAAACTGAGCAGACACCTCGTATTTAGCACTCGAGAGCAGACAAACCCATTATGAGAATTAGGTTTTGGCTGGTGTTTGCAAGTAAGAATTTCTGCTTGAGGGAGTCCTGATGATCACGTCTTGCCCTCGGTCTTTGTGTTACATGTGGATGCCTGCCATCTACTGTAGGAGGTCTCTCTAGGGCCTAGTGCTGTGGGGTGGCCCAGATGAAAATGTAACCGTGGTGCTCAAAGCAGAGCAATGTTGACGCACACTTAAACCATGGAGAATGCTATAACAAGCACAAATGGTGAGAAGGAATGATGACCAGGCAAAATTGTGATGAAATGGCTGAGGATACTACTGAAACTCTGTTCAGCTTTGCCTGGGGAGAGCAGTGGGTGTCCCCTGTGATCATGACTGTGCTCTCTCGCTCACGTCCCCCCCCTTCCAGGATCGTGTGTGACATGGAGGAGTCGTTACTCCCCAACCCCCCAGGGGGCGCCGTGGAGCTGTGCATCGGCGACTGCGTGGCTGAGTTTCGCAGCCAGTCTGTCCAGATCTACAACTTCGTGGTATGTAACACCCCTTGCAAACCTGACGCGCCATAAAAAAAAAAAGTCTTCATTCCAGCTGAGCTCTCCATTATCTCAGGGGGTTTCGGGTTCAAATCCGGGGAGTGGGGCACAGCTATGGTCCCCTTGAGCAAGGCACCTCACTCACATTGCACCAGTAAATGTCCTTCTCTATGCCCAGGTCCCCCGGCCCTTGTTTATATTTTTAATTAGAACTATAGGATTAGTGTTAATGGAAAAAAATAGGTTTGCTCCAGAGAAAGTATTTGAATGGTAAATGTTGAAAATAGCCTAAAAGACTCTGGTTGTTTCGGCACATTTTCATTGCCTGAATTCTCAGCTGGTGTTGAGGCCGCCCCTCGGCCACCAGGATGCGGGTCTTGGAGCTTTTCCCCCTAATAATTCACGGGGCGTGGAGGGGAGGGGGGGGGCTGGAGCCGTTTTCTCCCTGCTGCTCAATTCAAGCAGAAGGCAGCCTGAGAGCAGAGTGCAGAGCTGCCATGCAAAGAAAGAAAGAAAGAAAAATAAGGTTGTAAAATGCGCCCAGCGTGATGTAATTACCAAATCCTTCCTTGGAGCATTAAGCAGCGCGGAGCAGGAACGTGGCAACAGTCAATTACCCAGGAGCTCCTACGCCGCGAGGAATAAATGAGCCAGACTGGGGGCTCTTCAAACGCAAAATCAATAGTGACCTTGCAGCTTAATTCCAGGAGTGGCAAATGTACTCCAGATAAAAATTTTAAAAAATGAAATGTCAAATGCATGAGAAGCCAATTGCTTTGTGTGTGTGTGTGTGTGAGCGCAGCAGACCTGTTATCACTTAAGGTATATATTATCCACATTTTCCTGTATGCTGCACGCATGGATATCTGGGGTCTGCTTCAGTCCTGGGTGTCCGACACGGATGGGTGCTGTTTGAAAGAGTAGGTGTTCTGCCCTGCTACCAATTCTACACCAAGCAGAACGAAACGTTGAAATTGCCTTACGTACTCTAGGTCCTGAAAGATTTAGAACTGGACACGATTCGACCTCGTTATGTGGTTTTCTTATTAGTTCATGGAAACATGCGGAAACCAGTCCGCTGTGTCTTCTGTGAGAATCTGCCCGGAGTGTCGTTTGCCCCGCCGGAGAATCCCTCTAAAGACAGGACATCCGAAAGATGTCCTCAGACATCGCTCAGCCCATCAAGTCACCCGGTTCCATACAGCCCAGCAGCCAGTGAACAACCTCCTGTGAACAGGGGGGAATCCAGTGGGAACGTGTTTGCTCCACACGGACAGGCATCTCAGCCTGGATTCAGATCCGGAGCCCTGAAATCCCGTGGATATTGGGTCCAACATCCCTTCCACGAATGAATGCGCATCACTGGGGGACCACTTGGATTCGACCAGCTTTAAAAGAGAAGTCCTTCCCGAATGGAGGCGATTCAAGGGAATCGTATCTGTGGTACATTGGCCAAAAATGCTTGCCTGCCTAGTGCACCCAGTCTGGCTCTCCCTTGTTTTTACCGCTGAGCAAGAAAACTGAGACCATTTTTTTTCAAAACGCACCCACCACTCCCCTGTGTCTTGGGGTACACTGTCTGGGCAGCAGGGTGCGTTAAAGGGGGACACACAGGGCATCAAATTAGCCAGTACAGCACAGCAACCCAAACCATGTTCCTGGTTAATGCTGTTAGTGTTAGGATGGGGAACTAATCTCCCTGGATACTAGGGCACCTAGGAGACAGCACTGTGGTGCAGCGCTAGGGCCCTGGGTCCAACTCCTGAGGTGCTGTCTGTGTGGAGTTTGCATGTTCTCCCTGTGTTTGCATGTGTTTCCTCTTGGGTGCTCCAGTTTTTCCTCCCGAAATCCAAAAACAAACTGGTGGGTTAAATGGCTTGTGGGAAAACTGGCCCTGATGTGAGTGTGTGTATGTGCCCTGCGGTGGACTGGTGTCCTGTACTGGGTGCATCTTCACCAGGATAGACGCCGGTCCCCCTGTGACCCTGCACTGGAGAAAGTGGTTATAAAACGGATGGATGGATGGATGAGCGCGTTGAAAGAGTAATACCAAGGACTGTTCGGTCTAGAGTACAGCACTGCAGGGAGTGGAGGCGGGGTTCAGTGGGTGGATCAGCGCGACGTTAATTGACTTCCCCTCGCGCACTTCCTGCCAGTCGTCTCAGACGTGTGTTGCAGAAACAAAACTGGCTTTGTTTGGCGTGTTAAAACGTGAAAAGCCACATGTTTTTTAGGGTACAAGCACGAATCCGGCAATAAGGGCAAGAAACGGGGCAGCAGGGACGGAATGTTCTGGTGAGAAATTGGCGGTGATGTCATCTCCTCAGTGTCCCATCCACTGCGGTTTTCACCACAACTCCGAGTCCAGAAAGTGGTCAGTTCTAATTACCATCCAGATTGGAAACTGGGAGTCTGGCAATTTTTTAAACATGGAGTAAAAGAAGATTGGTTTTCCGCATCCTTAGAAACATCTATGTTTCCAGTAAATCCACTCAGATTAATTTTTGAGGGATGGACTCATAACTGGCCACAGTGGTGCTGTATTCTGTATTGAAGTTATGGGAAGAACCATCTTATTCCTTTCGTCACTCCCTAAAGACAAAACATCCACAAGAGGAATCCAGCTGTTTTTGAAATTGGAGTATCAACTTGAACAACATGGCTGGGTAGCTTGTTCCACGCTCCCACAACCCTCGGTGTAAAGAAGTGCCTCCTGCTCTCAGTTTTAAATGCGCTCCCCTGTAGTTTCTGCTTGTAGCCTCTCGTTCATGTCTTACTGTTAAATTTGGAAGAATTCCTCTGGGCCGATTCCGTCGTTGCCTTTGAGGATCTTGAATACTTGTCAGGTCCCCTCATGGTCTTTGCAAAGCTAAAAAGACATGGAAGAATTTTAGCCTTTTTGTGATACAATTATTCCTCAATTTGTTGTGTTTTTTTAACATATTGCACTTTCAGCATACACAGAGTGTCTTTGGTAGATATAAGAACAGGGGTGTCCAGTCCTGGTCCCCGAGGGCCAGTGTGTCTGCAGGTCTTCTGTCCAGCTGAGCTCGTATAGGCATTAATCAGCTTGTTAGTGGCTTAATTGGACCCATTTACCAAGGGCTCCCAGCTGCTTAAACATAGTTGAGAAACCTGCAGACACACCAGCGCCCCAGAACCAGGACTGGTGACCCCTGGTATAGAGGTTAATAAGCCCTGCGTGATTCAGGTCATCGGACTGTCTGCCTGCTCGGCTGTGTGGCTGAGTCGTGTTCTCACAGGACGCCATTATATTCTTAATGAAAGTGTGAATTCTCTTTTTCCTCAACCTCTCCTCAGCACAGCGTTTGATTCAAGGCACGAAGGAACCTCTGGTTTAAAAAAGCTATTTTTCATGCCTAAATTTGATTTTAGTGACCGGTTGGCAATTGCCAGTTAAAGGGTTAAGACTCGGCCGGGTCACAGTCTCTCAGTGAACTAGATCGGGGACTAATCGGACCCGTGCAGTTGGCAGGACAGCCCGTCAGGCTGAGAACGGGAAGAGAACAGCTGTGTCCAGATGTTTCATGCCTGTCTTTTGTTCGCCCCCAGACGCCCAGCTTTAACAAGGTGCATCCCGACCGCGGGCCGGTTTCAGGAGGGACGGTGATCACGGTTTCGGGGAGACACCTTGATGCTGGCAGCTCCGTCACAGTGTTCCTGGGACAAGGAGAGTGCCAGTTTATAAGGTGAGCACAGCCCAGCTCTGCCCAGCACACTGGCCAAGCTTCCATGCCACCAAAAGGGAAACAGATAAGACTCCCAGTTGCACAGACGGGCCTTTGATTAGTGTTATTTTAAATCACTCAAATCCATGCTTTTCTGTTTCATCAGGGCGGCATCAGTTGGTGGTAGTAAAACCTGAACTGGATCAAGCCGCTGTGCCCTGGGAGTCTGATTGGTTTCCTGGTGTTGAACTCTGCTCATTGCAGCAGCAGATTCCAGTTCCCTGCCTTGTGGGTTATCGAGGAAGTTTCACTCAGCTGGTGTCAAGGAATCAGCCTGATCTGCAAAGTGCAATACAGATCAATACCAAGACTGGTGAAGAATCTGGTGCAGATTCTTGACAGTCTACAGTCCATTAGTGGCACTATTTAAGCTGAACAAGTAATCAAGTTTCCATTAAATGAAATAGACTGAAGTAATACAATTTGAGATAAGGCTAACAATCCACAGATCCACAGCTCAAGGTTTTTAAAATTGCATGGAGCATCACAAAAATAACCACTTGGTTATTTCTTAATCCTGCGCTCTTGACCCGACCTGACCAGCTGTAACAGACGTTTCTCTTTTTAGTTTTGCAGGCACGATTCTTTTAAAATCAGGATGTAGCAAAAAGCAAATTCTCAGGACTCGAGGATCTTGATCTCCAGAAGGAACCTGGGGGGCTCTTTTAGAAGCTGAAAGTTCAGACAAGGTCTCACAGGCTGTGGGGTGTTTCTGTTTTGCAGGAGGAGTGTCCGGGAGATCGTGTGCCAGACACCCCCCTCTCTGGCTGCACCGGGACCTACGAACATAAAGCTGTACATCGACAAGGCAGAGATCATCAGCCCGGACACCCACTATTCCTACACGGAGGACCCCATCGTCTCCAGCGTGGAGCCCGGCTGGAGTATCCTCGAGTACGCTTCGAATACCCCCAGAAACAGAGCACTGAATTCACCGCCCTGCGTCGTCCCTTGGCCACAATAGAACAGCGCCCCCCTCCAGCGGTTACAAGAACTGCACCAGACACAGGGATACAGTTCTCACGTTTGGTGCAGTTCTTGAGACTAGATGTTGGCAGAAGGGATTGCTGTGTTGTAAATCATTGGCTGGAAAAAAGTATCCAGCCCAGAGCCCTAGAATTTCCCATTTCTAGCGGCCCCCTGTACCGCCATTAGAATCATAATAGATGAGGCAATGTTGTAACACTTTGCAGTGAGCCTACACTTAGAAACTACATGTAATTACGATGCATCCTTTATTATTAGGCATCCGTTCAGTGTAATCGGTGTACTTGCCCGTTCCAGCTGTGGAGGAGTAAGGACGCTCTCTGTTTGAGCCGGTTTGGGAACGACTGCAGAGTTTAACTGATTTTGGGGGTTGCCATGGCCTCGGTGGATCTTCAGGATCTGTAGTGCAAAGCGCAGAATTAAAACCGAGGGAGGTTGTGTTCAGTCTGAACAGTGGTGAGAGCACGTGGGATATTGCATAAGGTTTGGATCACCGCGACACAAACGCTGCGATCCGGTCCAGGGAGCGAGGCGCACCCCTAATTCCCACTAACCGGAATCTTGTGTTTCTTCTTCCAGCGGCAGCACTCCCATCACTGTGAGTGGCACCAACCTGCTCACCATCCAGGAGCCCAGAGTGCGGGCCAAGTATGGGGGCGTAGAGACCACCAACGTGAGTACGGGCCTCATCGCCCTGCCCTGTCTCTCGCCGGGCGCAGGCAGAGCAAGCACTCGGCTGTGAAATGGAGAATTAAAACACGTGGCTCCACTCAGATGTGGCGAGTTTCCCCCTGAAACGGGTTTCTCCTGTGGACTCGACACAGCGTGATCGTACTGTGTCGTTAACCCTCAAGGGATGTGACTGCCCAGCTCCGAATGTGGGGCTCCGCGGGACTTCACTCGAGCTGCTGGACGGCGCTAGCACAGCCTCCGCAAGAGGATCACAGCGTTAGACTTGTTGCCCGTTTGAGCTTCGTGATTTGAACAAACACGTGTGTTCATTGATGGCGAAAGAAAATGCTCACAACTTTCCATTCTCGTTGGTACAGCCGTTTAGAACTTTCACACCCTTGATGTTTCGGTGGTTAATTTGAGCCTCAGATGTTGGCGATTTCTGTTGTTTTTCCTCTTTGTGTTTGTCTTTTGCGTGTCTTTCAATTGTGATGTGCACCTATATACTCCTGTGTGCACCTGTATGGACCTGTGAGCTCTTGTGAGCTCCTGTGTGCACCAGTGAGCTCCTGTGTGTGTTCTCCAGCTCTCTCTCTGACCCAGTGCTCTGGGATCGTGTGTGACCTATACCTCTCTCTCTGACTAAGCAGCAGTGTTAGCAGTGTCAGATGTTCCAGCACGCTGACCTCCTCTTCTCTTTCCTGCTCTGTCCTGTCTCGCTCTCTCCCTCCCTCCCCCTCTCTTCGGCCCAGGTGTGTCATGTTGTGAACGACTCGGTGATGACCTGCTTGGCGCCCCGTATCACCTACACTAAGCGGCTGCCCCCCGAATCAGGCCTGCACCCCGATGAGTTTGGCTTCATTCTGGACCACGTAACCTCCCTGCTTGCCCTTAATGGGACCCCCTTCACCTACTACCCCAACCCCACCTTCGACCCGCTTGGGAATTCTGGGATACTGGAGGTCAAGCCTGGATCCCCTATCATCTTAAAAGTAAGGAGCACTTTGTTTGTTCCTCACTTCTCTAAGGTCTGTTGTTAAAACCTGCTTAGCCGGTAAAAATGGATGCAGACATACAGTAGGCAGACTAGGAGAGTACAGGGCTGTGCCCTGCGTTGCCTCAGTAAGAGCCGGTCCACCTGGTGACTGTGCAGAGCCAGAGCAGTCACTTGTCTGAGCCCACGGTGAGGGTCTCTCTGTAGCGATACAGCTGATTAGAGTTCTCAAAACAGACACATTTGCATATTAATACATCCTTCAAAACTGTCACGCACAATGCAATATTTTAGGTGACAAAGGACAAGAGACTCTGAATATTAATTTGAACATTTTCTTAGATAAGCCATTAGTTCTTCAAGCGCACGACACTGACTCGGTATGCCTTGGGGACACTGTCTTCTGTCATCCCCATTTCACTGCGGTTCAGAATTGATGGCAGTCTGGGTGCCGTCTCAATCTGCTCGCTGTTCAAGAGCCGGGCTGTTACCCGCCCTGAGGCACAGAGGCAGCAGGCGCAGAGCAGTGAGGCGATGGTGCTCTTCCAGTCAGGCGTTCACGCGACACCAAAGAGAGAGACAAGTCAGAAACGATCAGTTCCAGGGCCCAGCGGTCTTCCGGCGTCTCGGGCTGCAGACGAATTCCTCGCGAGAGACGCTGGCAGACCAGGAGAGCACTCCTGCGTTGTCAGTAAGGGCCGGATCACAGCCCTGGGTGGCCAGTCGCTGACTGACTGTGCAGGCCAGAGCAGAAGTGACGTCTTTTCCACGAGGACGTCTGAGAAAGCAATAAAAAATCACACTTTTATTTCTCTTTAGAAGAGACAAAAGAGAGGAGGTGGTGTAGTGAATTTTAGCAATGGATTTTCAGGAAAATCAGGAGTAGAAAACCTGTGAAATTAACCTACTGAAAAATCGAATCACTTTCTGTAGAGCCTGGCTTCATGCCTAAATATACTGCGCTTGCCTCTAACATTTCTTGTGATGTGAGCTGAAAACAAATGGAAATATTTGTTTTGGCTCTGTGAATTGAGAGTTTGATGGAACTAATTGGCTCTACGTAATGCTGCTAATGGATATAGACACTCTGAGCTGGGTGCTCAGGGTTTGTTTTAAATTGATGTTGAGTTTGTGTTCGCTGCTTGAGTTCAGCAGTTGAGCTTAAACTTGCAGAGGGACTTTTCCAGTCATTTCCAGGAGAGAAATGTATTCCAAAGCTTCCCAATTCTTGTTTACCTCTTTTCCTGTATGTTTTCTTTGCTCTGGGGTTTGTTTTGCAATTGCACTGATCCACCAGTAACACAACGCAAATAGACTTGGTCCTATTTTTTTTGTCCTATCACTAGGGGAAAAACCTGATTCCTCCTGCCCCAGGGAACACCCGCCTCAATTACACCGTGCTGATTGGAGAAACCCCCTGCCTGTTAACTGTGTCAGAGTCTCAGCTGCTCTGTGATTCGCCAGACCTCACTGGAGAACAGCGAGTCACGGTAAGAGGGTGGAGCTGTACTGACTGTTTGAGAGCCAATGAGGAGGCAGCTTTCAGAAGTATTCCTGGTATTAAAAAAAATCCAGGAGTTTTTTTTATTTTGTGTTGAAGGCAAAGGGCATCTCTTTGCCATTTCCTTCATGTGGATTTTACTATAGTCTTACAAATAATGCTGCTGGAGTGGAACACTTTGATAAAACCTTTGCTGAAAGCACAGGGTGTCTCTTTCATGCTTATATAAAATGAAGCTTTTATAGACATAGAATGCAGTGGAGACAAATCAAGATGAGGGTTTTAGCAGTTGGAACACCCCTGAAATTTAAACAAGACAAAGGCAGTGCTTTATATCATCCTTGAAATGTTTTTCATCCAATCTGCTCGTTTCTTTCCGATAATTCAGGTCAGATGTGCTCACATGGGGTGGGATGAGGTGTTTCAGTCTCAGTCACAAACTAGACTCAAAACCCAAGGACAGTCGGACTAGAAAAGGTTAATGAATTTGGGGGTCGATCAGTAGTTGCCTGGTTCAAGGTTGAAAGGTTTAAAGCTGAATCTTTTAAACCTCTGTCTGCTCCAGTCTGTTCCAGTCTGCGCTGAATTGCTTTAAGCCGGTTTAATCCCAGTATAGGAATCTGGGATGCCAAAAAATGGTGCTGTGCAGAGGAAAGAAGTCTTGATTGGGAACTGCAGGCAGTGATAGGCAGGTAGCGTGATGTCCTGAGGGAGGCTGGGAGTTTGGAAGAGGGGAGGTGGCAAGGGAGAGGGAGGGAGAGAGAGACGGTCTGGTCTGGGTGTTAATCAGCAGGCAGTTATTGGCAGCATTCTCAGGTCCTTTTTCTTTCTGTAATGGGTAATATTCAATAATTAATGTGCCGGAGAAGTCGGCTAATGACACTCTAAAGGTGAAACTCGTTAGGGAAGGCTGTAGGAAGTTGGTGTTAATTGGCACAGTGACCTCTAGCCATCGGCCCCCCTCCTCCCCTCTGCACAACAGTACAAACCCTTGTTCCTTTTCTAGCGAGCGGCGTGGTTCTGCACACATCCAGACTTACTGAATGGTTTTCTGTCAGCTCTTGAGACCGGGGCCTGAACGCTCAGTCACCCCTGTCACTTGCGTATGGGGGCTCTTTTTCCAAACATCTCTCAGGACAGAGTTCTCCCCTTTTGATAAACCCCCAGCTCCAGCTTTGTAAACCCAGTGATGAGTTTTTTCACATCTCAATTAGCTACAAAACCCAGAACCCAGGGGAGAACAAGGAAGTATGGACAAGCTCCTCCTCCCACCCTTCTTCTGACCAATCATCTTTTAACATCTCGCAGTCAGCACAGCCCCCAGCTGAAGGATCGGTGCTGATTGGAGGAGGGGCGTGTCCATCATCAACAGCACCACAAGCTTGCAAGCTTGGGAGGCCAAAAGGGGGCGCTAGGTTGCAGTGAGAGCCCTGGCTAATCCCACTGTCTCAGTGGCGCTTGGCTGATAGTGTGCCACCACTTGGGAGATCCCAGTCACAGTAACATGACCCAGGCTCAAACCCACGATCATGGATCTCAACCTGTGTGCAGACAAGGGCCCTTACTGATAGAGCACTGGGGAGCTCCTCCTAAATTCTAAAGCTGTTTAATTGAAGGAATTAATCTTATTTAATCTGCTCATGATTTGCAAGTCTGATATACTCCTGTCTGAGACTTCTGATGTAGGGATTTGGCCATTAGAAAAGCTTGCAGGGTTCAGTGCTGAGGCCACTGTTGTTCCTCATTCATATAGATCACACACGTCAGCGTACAAGAAGCAAATTGCTTATGTTTGCACTTGATACAAAAAAAAGGGTAGAACAGCCAACATCTATCAATACCAGGAGACTGATATTCAATTCCAAATATTCAGACATGGGATTTAATTGCATGGCCACTTAAATCAAATGCAAATATATAAGGGTTTGCATGTACGTAGGAAAATTGTAAGGCCAAATTATAATAATGGGCGTTGTAGAAAGTACAGGAGGGGGCTGAAGGATTTATGGGTTGTTATGATTTATTGCCCTTAGCATCTGAAAAACACATACTGTACAGTGTGGTATTCTGAGGTAAGAAACCAAGAGAGAGAAATGATTTTTTGTTAAACCAGTGCCCAGATTGAACATACAGGCCTGTTTAAGCATAATGCTTAAAATAACCAGTGGCTACTGATAATTCACAGCCATGAAACACTGCCCTGACAGGGAGAAGACAATGTAACCTTGAGCAACGCAACAACGCTTTTCTTCCCCCTCCCTGAGGGGAAACAAAAGGCTCTTGACCGATGGTTCCACTCGTGGTGGTATTGTCTCTCCAGATCGTGGTGGGCGGTCTGGAGTTCTCTCCCGGGACCCTGCACATTTACTCAGACAGCGCCCTCACCCTCCCCGCCATCATTGGCATCGGGGTGGGCGGCGGGCTGCTGCTCGTCGCCATCATCGCCGTGCTCATCGCCTACAAGCGCAAGACCCGCGACGCCGACCGCACCCTCAAGCGCCTGCAGCTGCAGATGGACAACCTGGAGTCCCGCGTGGCGCTGGAGTGTAAGGAAGGTAAGATCAGCCCGTCTCTGCTTGGTGTGCTGCCCTCCATAACAGAGCACCCCAGAGCACTGTACAGAAATACGCACCACCATTGTGTTTGTCTCACTCTGCTTGTCTGACTTTTATTTCACTTGTTGTTGTTGCTGCTGCTGTTCTGTGTTTGTTTCTGGTGATTCCTTTAATGTCTTTGTGTTGGAGCGCACATGCAAAGAAGCATTTCATTGCACTTGTGCAGATGACAAATAAACCGAACTGTGCAGATGCAGTAAACAGTGACCACAGAATTAAGCCCCACTTCAGTCTGAGCACAGTGATTTAACCCTTATCCAAAGACACTCATAGAGACTTAATGGTGGTCAGAGCCCAGACAGCTGCATCTGCCCAGTCCCTTAGGACATCGGAGTGCAGAGTGGAGAGAAAGTGTTGTGATTGTGTGTGCGTGTGCGTAACGGACATCTGTGGGCGGTGGCTGTGTCCTGCTGGGGTTTGATTCTCATTTCCGTGTCCTGCGCCAGCGTTTGCGGAGCTCCAGACGGACATCCAGGAGCTGACTAACGACATGGACGGGGTGAAGATCCCTTTCCTGGAGTATCGCACCTACGCCATGAGAGTCATGTTCCCTGGTATCGAGGAGCACCCTGTGCTGAAGGAGCTGGATGTAAGGACGCCTTGTACATTAAATATCCTATTATAATCCAATTCTAATATAATAATATTTATTAAATACACAGGGCAACGCCATGCTGATTCACAATGTGAAAACGATCAGTAGGGCAGTGCGGTTGTGTTGGATATTCCGTTGATATCTCCCAAGTGCTGAGGATTGAGCTGGCTCTCTCTTCTGCTGTGCCAGTAACCAGTCTCTTCCTGGTCTTTCCCTCTCCATCTCCCTTGCCTTTTCATCCTCTTCATTTCACCTGCTCATCCTCCTTCCTGCTCTCCTGTCCATTCTTCTCACCTGCTACCTCTCTCTCAATCTGCCAAACCGTCTCTGTCTGCCCTCCCACTGTCTCTGCCTGTCCTCTGCCTCTCTGTGAACACTCCCTTCATCTCTCCCTCTCCCTCTTCACGAACACTCCCTTCATCTCTCCCTCTCCCTCTTCACGAACACTCCCTTCATCTCTCCCTCTCCCTCTCCACGAACACTCCCTTCACCTCTCCTTCCATCAACCCTCTCTGCCTCCCCCCTCTCTGTGCTCACAGTCTCCAGCCAGTGTGGAGAAAGCCCTGCGCCTCTTCAGCCAGCTGCTCCACAACAAGATGTTCCTGCTGACCTTCATCCACACCCTGGAGGCCCAGCGCTCCTTCTCCATGCGGGACCGCGGCAATGTGGCCTCCCTCCTGATGGCGGCGCTGCAGGGCAGGATGGAGTACGCCACCATGGTGCTCAAGCAGCTGCTGGCGGACCTCATCGAGAAGAACCTGGAGAACCGCAACCACCCCAAGCTGCTGCTCCGCCGGTGAGGGGGGAGGGGGGGGCGTTTTCCCGATTGCATTGATCGATTAAACCCGTCCCCCTCTTATTTCATCAGATCATGAGAACAGTTACGAATGACAGGAGGCCGTCTGGCCCATCCGGTCCATGTGGTGGTTAATAGTCAATTGATCTGCTTGGTGCTGGGGAAGTGGCTGGACTGGCTCTGTCGAGGCCCTTGAGGGTCATGAACACTGGTCTCGGGACCATTGGGGGTCCTCTCTGTTCAAGACCGAACAGTTTCAGTCCCCTCCAGTCCCTGTAGGACGTTCCCTTGACGATCCCCTGCAGCGACCCCTGCCTGCTCCTCTCGAGGCCTCTTTGAAACTCCTGAGTCTGACAAATTCAGGGGCTGTTCTGACCTCTTGTCTTGACAGAACGGAGTCGGTGGCGGAGAAGATGCTGACCAACTGGTTCACCTTCCTGCTGCACAGATTCCTCAAGGTGAGGCCGGCCCCGCCCGCGCGCGGTGTTAGACCCCCGTCTCATGAACCCCACGACTGGAGGTTTTCTGCATTGCAATAAAGAAGTGAACAGGTTTACCCCAGCTCACGCTCACTCTCCTCAGAACAGCAAGGGGCTTTTATTCTCAGACAAAAACATCCGTTTGTGCTTGGTCAGTACAGTAGCTGTTTCTCACCATAAAAGGTGTAAAAAAGGTCAGAAATTTGGCAGTTAGGTCACTCTTGAGCAATTAACCAAGACCCTGATCTGCTAAGACCCTGTTCTCTTCCATGTTGCTGAATCACGCATAGGATGCATGACTTACACATCTCCACTCAAGAGACCTCGAAGAAACCAAGGCCAGCCAGGAGTGTAGGAAACAGTGACACACCTCTGCAGCACCTGGTTGTTAACTCCTAACACTGTTAGTAACAGGCACAGGTTCTTTCAGTGCGCAGTGTCCTGCTCCCTCCCTGACAGGCGACGCTCCTCCTGGTCTCCAATGGCAGGAGTTCTCCTGTCCACCGGTGGCCGTTTCTCTTAGCCACTGGCTCTTGAACCAGGGGTCACTTACTCAGCAGTTTCACAGCCTTGAGAATGCTAACATTCGCTCGTTTAAATGCTTGATTAATGACTGCAGCTGCTGGATGATTAACTATGAAAACAGGCTTTTCATCTGTGTTTTTTTACTCCTTCAGTGATATTTAAAATGGCATTAAGGTCATGCTGGAAAGTTTCTAAATGTCATTTACAATGACAAATTGGCTAATAAAATATTAAGCGCTAAACATACTGGAGCCTTAAGAACCTAGTGAGAGATCTGTGGCACGAGACAAATCCCACTTTTCAGTTAAAAACATCTTAACGAGTTAAGTCGTGCAAAGTCCTTGCTAGCCTTGGAAAATGCTGTCGAATAGCTCTTTAAAGGTACCCAGTACAAGTCTGTCAAAAGGGGCTTATAGCAATCCTCAGCCACATGTGTGTATGGTTTTTAAATAATATTAAAACCATAAAAAGGCTTGATTCAGTTCCTGTTAGACCGTGTTCTTCTCCTGGTAGACACGTGCTGCCGTGCTGTGGCCTCTGCAGACGGGCTGTCAAGCTATAATTAATAACGTCAGAAAGCCGTGTCTAAGGCCTAAATCATGATGTTGTCTCAGTGCCACTGTTTAGTCATCGAAAGCTTTTAAGTGGGTAATTGGTGACTTCTGTGCTCTTAACAAAGGCTGCTTGGAATGAAGATTGATTCTCCCTCTTTCTCAATCTCTCTACCTCTCTTTCCTCTTCTCTGTCCCTTTCTTTCTCCTTCACTCCATCTGCCCCTCTTCCTCTCTTCTACTCTCCCTCCATTCTTCCTCTTCCTCCCTCCCTCATCTGCTCCTCCATCTTCCCCTCCCCCTCTTCCTCTCTCTCCCTTACTTTTCTTCCGTGGTCCTCTCCCTCTCTCCCCCTCTCCACTCCTCCTCCGTGGTCCTCTCCCTCTCTCCCCCTCTCCACTCCTCCTCCGTGGTCCTCTCCCTCTCCCTCCCTCTCCACTCCTCTCTGCCCACTCCAGGAGTGCGCCGGGGAGCCTCTCTTCATGCTCTACTGCGCCATCAAGCAGCAGATGGAGAAAGGGCCCATCGACACCATCACTGGCGAGGCGCGCTACTCCCTCAGCGAGGACAAGCTCATCCGCCAGCAGATTGACTACAAGCAGCTGGTGAGACTCTCTCGCGACTCCCATCACCAGCAGCCTTCTTTCCATTGCTCTTTGCTCCCTCCGGTGTGGAATTTCCCATTACAGCTACAACTCCTGCCCTGTCTGGGGGAGAAAGAGGCCCCGCAGACCCGCCCACCTGTGGGGCTCATTCCTCTTTGACACACTGTGAGCTCCATGGCGCCTTGCAGGAGAGTTAATGCCGATTGGTGGAGAGGCGTGTCTCTTACTGACAGCGCTACAAGCCTATTATTACACCCTCCATAGTAATAGTAATTAGAGTTCCTTGCACCTGTTGAGCGCTTTTCATCCGAAAGGATCCCAGTTGACTTTAGTCGCACTTTTCACTTCATCCACCAGTGAAGACCCATCTGGGTGACGCACAGCAGCCATTCTGCACCAGCAGAATCACTGCGCAGTAGATCAGGGGTCTAAATTGCTTCACCTGTTGAATTAAGGGGGATGTTTAGGGAGGACAGATTGTGCGAGACCATATTGGATTTTAGTCAGGACACAACGATTAGCACCCCTGCTCTATTGAACAGTTTCCCCAGATCTTTAATGGCCAAATAGTCAGGACCTTTGTTTAACGCTGAACGTCAGCACTGCCTGCAGCAGTTTTACTTTTGGCTTTTCATTGGGAAATTCCAGGTGCTCTGCAATCACATACTCTCTCTGCACACGTTCCACACCACAGGTGTCTGTCTCACCTCTTCAGCTAGCACAGAGCTTAACCCTTTCACACGCAGATCCCACCCTCCAGATGGTGGTGTGATGGAGAAACACTGGCCTACTGGTCCAGTGTCCTGGGGAGGCCATGGAGACACCTAGGTGAACTGGTCTGCTGCAGACCAGACTGTAAGAGAGTCTGGAGGGATACCACAGAGGTTGAAGTCGGCAGTCGGATATCAGCTCAGGGGCGGCACGCTGACGTAGAGAAATCAAGCTCTTTATTTTGCGTGTGCAGCCATGACAGTGGTCAGATAATCGCCAAGCAGATAATCTTCCACAACGGCTCTGGGGGCTGTAAGCCGACCCAGAGAGACGGCCCGCGGACCAGAGTCATCAATCGGGCTGACCCGCCAGTGTCGCGTGACGCTCTGCAGAAATGAAGCGATTTATTGCGCGCACAATAAAGACGAGCTGTTCTCACCGCGCGGGGCTCGGCAGCCGGCGCAGGCCAGCACCATCGCCATTAAATACCGCATTTAAACAATCAGTGATTTATGGGATGTCGGCAATGAACGCGCTGTGTAAAAGCATGAGGGGGCCGCAGGGGTAAACAGGACTGATAAAAAATGTAAAAACAACAGCATCAGAGCTATTCCCTTTAAGAGCCGTGCATAATTAATCATTCTGGGGTTGGAAACAACGCACTGATCTGCTAAAGTATTCCTGCCCCGATCAGTAAGGTTCCTGCCATCAGTGATCCTCCAGGCTTGTCAGTCAGGCAGAGGTTCAGCTGACCTCGTACATCAATCCTCCCCATCAGACTAAACACGAGCGGTTGTGTCGCTGTCAAGGGAGTCAGCTCTTAAGTGGGCGGAGGTCCCTGTAGTGTGGTCCAGCCTGTTGCAGGCTCCGGGGGGCAGCCGGAGTCGAGCAGCGAATTCTCCTGGGGAATGGGACCCCGGGGGCGCTCGGATCTGTGTTGCGCGCTGGGCGCTGCGTCCGGAGCCGTGCCTCAGCGGCGGCGCGTCATGGCTCGGTCTAGGGGTTCCCCCGAGGGCGGCGGGGCCAGTTGCAAGGGTCCCCCGACCCCGGGACCCTCAGAAGAGGCGCGTCAGAGCCATGGCACGGCCGAGGCAGGGAGGTCAGCAAGTCGGAGGGCTGAGACTGGGCTTCTCGAGGTGTACTGGTCAGCTGTCTCGTGACGGGCGCTTTCTCAGGGCCCGAGAACGGCCCTGACACACGAGGTGCTGACCCTGATGGTGGACAAGGGTCTGTCCGCAGGTCTGAGGAACAGGTGTGCATCCTTTTTCTCAGAACTGCACGAGCCTCAATTACCCCCGTCGGCCAAATCCATACCCCACACCCCCACCCTCCTGCGAACTACAATCCTCCGCTCTCCCTGAGCCCGGCTCCCCTCTTCCCCCCTGCTTAAGCCTCCCCCGTTCCTTGAGAGCTGTCTAATTTGCTGTGTAATTGGTTTTTAATCAAAAATTTATCACTCCTAAAAATAATATTTTTTTAGTAGCGCATGGGAGCAAAATTGACTTTCCTTAATGATTAGCGAGCCGCTCCTGCAGCTGCTCGTGTGGTTGTTCCAGATGCAGATTGCTTTAATAACCTGATTAACTCCCCGAGAGCACAGGAAGAGATGCGTTTGTGGATATATGGATACATGCATATAGAAGGGGTGTCAGGATTGTCGTAAGAGTGTTTTCTTCAAAGGCTAATTAGCCGAAGCAGAAAAAAAGAAGCTCGTAAATAAGGAGCAAATAGCAATGATAGCGAGGCTGAAAAGGCGACAGTCCTTGGTGTGTTATTTAGGGTGTCATTGGGGAACAGGTCCTTGGACTATGTCTGTAGCTGGTGCAAGATCAGATAAAGGTGAGTGCAGTGAAGTCCTCCCGGCTGTGGTGCGTGGTGGTAAAAGCGCTGTGGACTGCGCTGTAGAATGGTAAAGAGTGGATGTGGTGCAGGCTGGGGAGACGAGGGTCTCGCAGCGGTAATGCGAAGCCGAGACCGCCCTGGCCTGGGGATGCACACAGGGAGAGTCTGCAGGAGCCCGCGGGCAGGAAGGGCGCCCTGTCGGCCCTCAGCGCAGACCGTGTGAACACGCAGGGGGTAATTCCATGCTGAGAGTGAAAGAGGACACTTGAGAAGTCGGCCGTTGAGCCTTTTCAGGTGTGAAGGCTTTGATCATACCAGAATGGGCCTGGGAGCTGAAACCTCGTTTCCTCTCTCTGCTCTTCAGCGTGGGGAGTATTTGTCCCTTTGCAGCAACGACATAGCTCCCCTCTCAGACTGGGTACAGCTCACGTAGAGCCCGCTGAGCTCCGCCAGCTGGGGCACAGTGTGGCAGGGTAGAGCCCAGGCGTTAGCTGGCATGATCCCCGCTGCAGACTGGCCAGGTGGTGAGGTGGTGGGAATGGCGGTCTCCTCTCTCCAACGCCGTCTCCAACTCTGTCTCGCTCTCAGACGCTGATGTGCGTTCCTCCCGAGGGGGAGGTCGGCACCGAGATCCCGGTGAAGGTTCTGAACTGCGACACGGTGACCCAGGTGAAGGACAAGCTGCTGGACGCCGTGTACAAGGGAATCCCCTACTCCCAGAGGCCCCAGGCCGAGGACATGGATCTGGGTAAGCAGCCTCGACTCGAGAGCCAGGCTCTGGCCTGCAGCAGTAGCATGCGAGGGAGAGTTAAAGCCCTCTGTCTTGTTTTTTGGGGGAGAAGAAATCAACCAACAGTAAATCGAGCATAAATCAGTCTTGCATTGGATGGGGGTTTGATCTACCTCAGAGTTTCTAAACTGCAGGCCTTTATACAATGTATGGTGCAGTATATCTATACCAGTTTCCTCACTGGAGGGGGGTAATCTCACACACCAGTTTGCCACAAAGGCCGGGGTTGTAAAACCTGACGAAACGCTCGAGAAGGACTGGTCCTTTTTAAAAAGAAAACACGCATGCACACACTTTCCTTTTTTTTCATGTAACCTTTGTGTTACAGAGGCTCTTGTTGCTAATGATATCATCCCCCCCAAAATCAGCTTTTGCTATTAATTGCACAATCACGTCGGCTTGTGTTAACTCAAGAGCGCTCCCCGAGCTTTTAAAGGGTGTTCGTTAATGCGCTGCCTGTTAATGTGTGCCAATTAGACGGGCCTCGGCTGGCCTCGACACTCAAATCGGGGCCCTTGCTGTTCTCCTGTTGGCGTTATTGTAATTATTTAATCCATGAGGGGGAGGGCTGGACCACTATACTTTTAATTTCATTTACGGCTGAACTCGCCTGGCTGTGTGTTACTGTACCAGACTGCGGCAGTGCTGTCTGCCGGGGCAGTGGATTATGACATTCGCCGTGGGAACAGACTCTTCAGATGACACTTATACATGCTTTATAAATGAAAGATTATTAATAAAGTATGAAGAAAGCAAACATCGATGTGACGAGGGCCAGCTTCTGTTATAGATTAGTTCAATGTCCACAGCGCTGCCTGAGCTCATCGTGTTGTTGCTGTCTGGAAAGTCAGGTGCGACGTGGCGATGGATCGTCTGTGGCCGGTCACAACCAGGGCTTCAGGTGTTGCTGTAAAACTGCGGGCAGTGTAGTGAAGGGCTGTGAATGTGGCCGAGTGTTGGCGAGGCTCTGTAAGAGCTGGCGTTTTCTCTACAGAGTGGCGGCAGGGGCGTCTGACCCGAATCGTCCTCCAGGATGAAGACGTCACCACGAAGATCGAGAGCGACTGGAAGAGACTCAACACGCTGGCACACTACCAGGTCA